AAAAAACAATAAAAATATATATAAAGTCAATATATGTACTACATATATAAAACACGATATAAAAATATTTTTGATATATACTGCATTATTATCTACTTAACTTTAACAGATAATTGTAACCAAGTTTAACTTTAGGATATGGTATTGTAAAATAAAAAATAGTAATCTATAAAAATTAGTATAATTTTGTCTGGCCATGATCGAATAATTGGATAAAAGTTGGCTGTCAGATATTAATCGATATCCATCGATCAGTTTGGAAATACGTATGACATGGAATTGACGCTAATTCGTGTCACAATATTGACGTTATGTCATGAGTTTAGAATAAGAGAGGTCAATACTACTCGAGGCAGCAGGTAAAAGGTGTTAAACTAATCACGAATTTCATGGAATACATACACATTTAGATAATATTATTCAATAAAAAAAAAGAATTAAAAATAGAGGCGACAGGAAATAATTTACTTTTATTCTGGAAATATAATAATACGAAAATCGTAATACTTAATTTATTTGTTCTTAGTGATGTAAAATATCTAATGTGCATATTAAATAGCAAAAAGTTTAATTTTGTTACCCCAAAATATAAAGATAATAGGAGTTATTTAGTGAAAATATAACATAGTCTAATTTTTCAAATTAGTGTGTGTACATATCCTTGCCATAAATTATTATTATGTGTTAGTAAGACCTAATACCAACTAATCTTGGTTTAATAATCATAAACCTTCATGTGTCGTCTTATCCACGCTGACTTGAAACATTTTTAACTACTAGTTGTTTTGTTTCTCGAAACTAACTTTCGCTAACAGCGCACCAACGAATAATCTTATTTCATATAGTAATTAAGTATATAATTTATATTATATTAAAATAAATGAAAGAATAGATGGAGTGCCTGAAGTAAAACGTCTTTACGCACGCTTGGGGGTAAGCTCGTTAAAGCGTTATGAAAAGTGTGATCAAGTAAGGAGAGTGAAAGTGAGAAGGAGATATAAGTTAATAAAGATAAATAGAGAGAGTGTTACGGTTTATGGATCATTATCATCATCATGATCATAATGGATACATGCATGGATGGTGGGCTGGAAGGATTTCTTTCTCGCTTCCTTTCATAGCCAGTTCATGAAAATATATACATGTCTGTATTAAACATGTTTAAACATAATTTGCATATACATATTAAATATAGATGAAGCGAAAGAAGTTTTACTTCGGTCGTGTGGTCTAAAGCACTCTGGTTTAATATATTTTTTTGTTTAAAAGCTTAGTAATAAACAAGAGCTTGGTAAAAATTCACATAATTATCTCGGAATTTCTCAATAGTAATCATTAAATTATACATCAGATGAATATTACATTCTCATTAAGAATGGAATTCTATTTATAATAATTCAGTCATTGATTTTATTATTTACACTTTTTACTGTTTTTTGGGCTTATCAAGTATTATATACGAATATAAAAAGTTTACTTATTAATAGTATCATTAAAAGTTAAAAGTAAATCTTAAACAAATTATTTATTTGTAACTATTCACACTTTGTCAATAAATTAAACAATTCAATTACAACAACTTTTGGTTATCACTTCTTAGTGGTGGTAGGAGATGGCGGGAGAAGAGTATGAGACGTGGGCGAGAGGAGCAGCGTAGGAGACGGGAGCTGAGTAAGCTACCTTAGCTACGGGAGCAGCGTATGCTACTTTAGCGACGGGGGCGGCGTAGGAGATAGGGGCGGAGTAGGCTACTCTGGCGACAGGGGCGGCGTGGACGAGCTTGGCGACGGGAGCAGCATAGGCGATCTTAGCGGGGACTGGGGCCTGGATGGGTTGTCCTTCGTAACGTACGTTGGCGTTGAAACCGTTGTGTGCGTCAGAGCTGTACTCTACAATGCGGTGGACTCCGTCAGGTTGCACCAGCGAGTATGATCCGTGGACGACGTCTCCCTCACGGGACTCCTGCTGCTGCTTCACGTCCCCGCTCTCATTGTCGTGCACAGAGTACTGGAACTCGTAGTGGGCGGGTGCTTCGGGCTCGGCGTACGCGTATTTGGCGACCGGCACCACGGGGAGGGCTGAGGCGACTGCGGCCAGAGCGAGGACGAAGAACAACTGAAATGAAATAAAGTAATTATTATAAAACAAATTTAAAAAAGACTAAAACTTTATATCCGATAACACTTTCATATGTTAACTTATATATTAATTTGATATATAATATGTGTACATATAAATATGTAAGTCAAGTTACCTTAGCGGCCATTGTAATGTATTGAGTGTCGAAGTGTGACTGTGCTTTCTTAATATCAACACGGGTTTTTATACTTGAATCTTATTCGACAAATGTGACAAACTCACAAGGTGACAAACTGTTGCTCAACATATAGAGCAGGTTAAAGTGCAACAATATTTTATACACACGTTAATATTAACAAGTGTTTAAGATTGTCTTTGGTATAAAACTAAATCAATTGTTTTACTAAAATATAAATAGACACAATGAATTTTAACATTTCAATATTTTCTTATAGATAATAAGCATAGAAACATTTAAATAATATTCTCGTGACATGACTTCATAATCAACAAAAAGTGTGGTTTATTTAAAATTTATTATTAAATTATTATTTAATTAATAGATATGAAACATATTTGTTTATTATAAAGGATGCAAGCCTCCGTGAAAATGCTTACCTGCTGCCTACCTGATGCCTGCCTCGTCCAAGGACATTCGCAAAATAGTTTTGCGGATTTGCTACCACTCTTGATTGAGGAAGAGAGAGGAAAGGAAGCAAAGGAAAAATGTAACCGGATCTGTACTTCATGCCAATCTTTAATCTTAGGCAATTACAGGCACTTAAACTGCATCGGGTCTATTTGGGCACATTCTTTTGAAATATATAACTGTATTTCTTATTAAGAAAAGAAAAAATCTTCTTATTATTATTTATTCTTCTTACTCCTAACCTTCAACCTTTCTTAAACGTGATTTTGACATAAAACATTATCATACATGTATTCAAACAAATTTAAACAACCTCAAAAATATATTTAAAATATATTTATTTTTTCGTGATTATCTCTTTTTAATGTCGTGAATACCTACATCAAACCACGAACTATATATTTCTATTGAACAGGTAAGAGGTATTATAAAATATATTGCTCATAGTATAAATTTCATAGTCCGCTTCTCAACCGACCGTCCCCAAGTCCTTATTTCACTTGTATTAATATTATTATTATTATCAGTATTCATATAACAGTTTTCAATTTCTTTGAGACCATCTCATATTATCTGACTGAAATTCTTAGTAAGTGATAATTTGATAAGACTTTTAGGGTTCTAAACAGCAAAAGGAAAAAAAAATGGTTAGTTTATTGTTTCATTCCTCTGTCTTCAGTAAAGACCCTTTATTTGTGAAGTCAAGAAGAGATTGACCTGTGGTTAAAATAATTTTATGAAGCACATACATTGTACAGTCACTTAAAGCATTGAGAAAGTCCAACTCCGGAGGTAACGTAAAAATATAGACACGACTATTATATATACGTCTCTAAGCGTATATTTAAATCCTGTCAAGGTAAACTAAATTTGTGATACTAGCAAAGTAATGGTATCTTATGCTGCAAGTCTAGTAAAACTGTAAAAACCTAGAAATTTAGGGATGTCTCCTAATGAACATGTTAATTAAAACTTGCAGTCTTTAGTGTTTTTTTTAGCATGATACCAGTTTGGAATCTTTTTTGTAAAAGGACACCAGAGTCGTTAAACAATTACACGGTGAAAAAAAACCGTTAAAAAACTTTTAGCAACTTTATAGTTCTCATGATGTAAGTAGATATTGCTAACACCTTGACTTTGAGTATGCGTAGTAACAAAAACAAAAGGCGAGGAGACTACATACATTTACAAATAAACCTTTTTAAAAATCATTTGAGAAATACATAGAAGTAATTGTATTAATTATTAGTTAGACGATAATTATCATCTAACAGAAAATAAATGAGCTTTTATTTCGTTATATTATTTTCTTTATTTGAACTATATTCTTTAAATCTATTTAATGATAACCACAAAATAATGACTTGGATGTAAAATTTACATCTACATAAGATCTGCTAATTTCTTAAAAGTTTGAATCGCCTGGCCTCCTAATAGAAACATTTCATGTAAACTGCTATTAATTTAATAAAACTCTTACTTGTATTTGTGATTATATATTTATTTCTTCTATTAAAACAGTGTTAGTATAATCTCAATATGAATTTTATGAGGATTTAAACATGCCAACTCCAGGTGATTTGAAATGATATTTAAATTATAAGCTGGTTTCGATGATTATTTAATTCAATAGTTTCTTAATGAATCTTTTTTTGTTCGTTTATGACATAATTTTTCCCTTTTGGTTCTATTCTTGATATTTATTACTATTTATGTAATGTGAAATGTTTAATTTTTTAACATGATATATCGTATTTGGAGATTTTTGTTTATCTTGTGTATTCAAACCCATGCTTATGAGGAATCTAAAAAGGACGGTCAAGCTTTGTAGAAGTGGAAGTGCCCTTGATTTTTGTTTTATTGTCCCTATATCAGAATCTTGACTGTCTCCTGACTGCTAATACTACAATTATTATAAGACTATAACTCAATTTCTTTAATTCTACACTGTGTTATATATGAACCTATTCACCTCCATTGAAATTTCCTGTGTTAAAAAGTTTTAAATGAAGTTAACTATAAGTTTTGACTTTATTATAATATACTTAAAAAGTTGTTGGCAAAATTTACAATAGTAATAGGTTACTTAGAAGTAAGTTTTTTTAACTTCATTTGTATTTTTAATGTTCTTTATCATAATCATGTTTCAGTGAAAAGGATTATTATCAATAAAAGTTAGAAGTAAATCTTAAACAAATTATTTATTTGTAACTATTCACATTTTGTCAATAAATTAAACAATTCAATCACAACAACTTTTGGTTATCACAGCTTAGTGGTGGTAGGAGATGGCGGGAGAAGAGTATGAGACGTGGGCGAGAGGAGCAGCGTAGGAGACGGGAGCTGAGTAAGCTACCTTAGCTACGGGAGCAGCGTATGCTACTTTAGCGACGGGGGCGGCGTAGGAGATAGGGGCGGAGTAGGCTACTCTGGCGACAGGGGCGGCGTGGACGAGCTTGGCGACGGGAGCAGCATAGGCGATCTTAGCGGGGACTGGGGCCTGGATGGGTTGTCCTTCGTAACGTACGTTGGCGTTGAAACCGTTGTGTGCGTCAGAGCTGTACTCTACAATGCGGTGGACTCCGTCAGGTTGCACCAGCGAGTATGATCCGTGGACGACGTCTCCCTCACGGGACTCCTGCTGCTGCTTCACGTCCCCGCTGTGCTCGTCGTGCACAGAGTACTGGAACTCGTAGTGGGCGGGTGCTTCGGGCTCGGCGTACGCGTATTTGGCGACCGGCACCACGGGGAGGGCTGAGGCGACTGCGGCCAGAGCGAGGACGAAGAACAACTGAAATTAAATAAAAAAAATATAATAATTATAACTATTCTAAAACCATTTTTATACAGACAAAAACTGAATATCACACGACACTCTATCATTTTAACTTAATATACATATAATATCCATATAAGTATGTAAGTCAAGTTACCTTAGCGGCCATTGTATTGTATTGAGTGTCGAAGTGTGACTGTGCTTTCTTAATATCAACACGGGTTTTTATACTTGATCATGTTTGAGATTTCAACAGGGTGGCAACTATTGAACCAAGATACAAGGTCAGGTAAGGTGCAAAAAGTCTTTTTACTTACTTTAATATCTTTATCAGTGTACGGAAATGCTTTCTTTATTACATAATGTTGAAATATAAAAAACAGACTCGCAAAAGCTTTGTTAGTACTACTTAATTCGTCTATTAAATTATAAACATATTTACTAGAAAAATAAAATATATCTTTTATGAGCAATGTTCCGTAATATGTCAAAATTTCCATGAAAATTAAATATGTCGCATTCCTAAGTTTCTTAATCGAATAAAATTTACATAGTTCGGAAAAAAGTTAACTTTACCAATAATCAAACTTTTAATATTTATAACACTTAAAGTATGAATATTTTATTTTGTTTATTTTTAACCCTCGACTAAAAAACGACGGGTGGTTATAAGTTTGACGTGTCTGTATATGTATGTGTTTGTCTGAGGCAACGTAGCTCCCAAACGGATGATCCGATTTTATTGCGGTTTTTTTTGTTTGAAAGGTAGATTCGCCGAGAGTGTTCTTAGCTATGTTTGGTGGAAATGGGTTCAGGTGTTCAAGGTCATCAAGTCGTTTGTTAGGTATGATAGAAATGTTACACACAGTTTGCTTGCAAGCATATACGGGATCTGACATTTGAAACCCTTATGTCTTCTGGAACCACTGAGCTGGTCTGCTGTTAGGGCTCGAAGATAGAAGACGTAACCCTGGACTGCCTTTTAATAAATACATCGAATTTGGGTTCGTCAAATTAGTCATGACTGGTTCTCTTTATGTTTCTAATTGGGTTGGACGTTTTACTGAATATTTAATTTATGTTAGTAATTACAGTATATTTTCATTTATAAATTTAAATACTTGCTATCATTTCACTATCGCCGATAATAGTTTTAACTCAGTTAGGTTTTGAATTGTACAGTTACTCGAAAACATAAATATTTTCTCTCATCCAACCTGATTACATAGTGTCTTATTTTGGATATCAAATTCCTTTATACAATATCACAGTATTTTTATTTTGTTTACATATATGGTTCATATCAATTCCCATTACTCATGAAGTTCGTTATTAATGTACGTCGATTAAGATGTGAATGATTGATACAAGATAATATTAGTCATACGACACATTGATTCTTCGGAATATTTTTAAGTACTGAAGATTAGATAAACAGACTTTTTATAGACGGACGTTTTTAAATACTTTATGATATTTAATATTTGTTTTGATTCAAAAGAAATATGAAGTATTTTATTCGTTGTATATTTTCGTTTTACTAGAGTTAGAAAGATTATAAGGAGAAATATTATACAACTGACCTGAAATCTTTTATTTTCAAAATATACACGAAAACAATTAAATAAAATTTTTAAGTAATATAAAGAAGAACTGTCATATTTTATTCATAAACAAAGCTGTGGTCTTAGCTTCTAATTGTTTAAGTTCTACATCCTTATCGGTCATGACTTGTTTTCTGACCTTCCATCCTTCTGAATCCTTATTTTGAAACAGAACTACACTTTACGAAAATAATCAATCAAAACTGGTTTCTTAAACTATCAAAACCTTCTCCATCATTTATCATTACAGTAGGATATTTATTAGCACAGTTTTTTATTATAAACCAGTTAAATTATCCCCCCCCTCACCCCTCCTTGATAGTAACAAGTAACTTTTTAAATACATATTTCATAAGAAGTATGTTAGACTTTAACAATGCTCTTAATAAAATGCATCCTTAACTCCCTAACCGGCTTTGTCGTATTTTTAATACACCAAACATTAGACTTTTAATTTTTGTTTTATTGATTAGACAAAAAAATGTATTGAATAAACAGTTTCTTTTATTCCATTGAAACTACCACACTATTATATTTATTTTTATATACATGTACTTACTGATAAAAATGGAATATAATATATTAACATATAATCATAACTACAAATGGGTAAAACTTAATTTTCTAGCTGTGATCTTACTTTAACAGTATTACATATGAATGTTGAAAGATAAAAGATTTTTTCAATAAACAGTCTCATTCAATACTTTCGACGATAGATGTTACTAGTAAAAGCTAGTAATATTATGAGTATCAGAAAACGTATTATTTTTTAAAAATGTATAAAAACAAGGTCTAGATAGATTCAGACCCATTAATTTTTTGTTTGATCCTTTGGATGTTTTGAATATATTGTATTAAATTAAAAAGTTCTCGAAATGCAGTACGATACGTGTCCTTGTCACCGAAAGCGACAAGTGATGTGCATTATTGTTCTAAAAACATACACATGTTTACTGCTTGAATAAACTAATTGGGATCCGTATCCATACGAACAGATCTTTGCAACAAGTAACATTGATCGAATCCGGTCCGGTACATATATATTATTCTTTATTTTTTTTTATTATTAGCTGAACTATCACGTCATATTTGTTAAAGTTTATGTTATACATAAATAACTGCTATTAAAAAATTCAGATCCACATCGCTCGTTATTAATAAAGCTCACATTTATCATCATATTATTAGGTTTTAGTGTTCTTTATAACTGTTTCGTTTTTAGTGGTAAGGTCGTTGGAAAGTGACACTTAATAGTATTAATAAAAGTTAAAAGTAAATCTTAAACAAATTATTTATTTGTAACTATTCACATTTTGTCAATAAATTAAACAATTCAATCACAACAACATTTGGTTATCACATCTTAGTGGTGGTAGGAGATGGCGGGAGAAGAGTATGAGACGTGGGCGAGAGGAGCAGCGTAGGAGACGGGAGCTGAGTAAGCTACCTTAGCTACGGGAGCAGCGTATGCTACTTTAGCGACGGGGGCGGCGTAGGAGATAGGGGCGGAGTAGGCTACTCTGGCGACAGGGGCGGCGTGGACGAGCTTGGCGACGGGAGCAGCATAGGCGATCTTAGCGGGGACTGGGGCCTGGATGGGTTGTCCTTCGTAACGTACGTTGGCGTTGAAACCGTTGTGTGCGTCAGAGCTGTACTCTACAATGCGGTGGACTCCGTCAGGTTGCACCAGCGAGTATGATCCGTGGACGACGTCTCCCTCACGGGACTCCTGCTGCTGCTTCACGTCCCCGCTGTGCTCGTCGTGCACAGAGTACTGGAACTCGTAGTGGGCGGGTGCTTCGGGCTCGGCGTACGCGTATTTGGCGACCGGCACCACGGGGAGGGCTGAGGCGACTGCGGCCAGAGCGAGGACGAAGAACAACTGAAAATACAATAAAGTAATTATTATAAAACAAATTTAAAAAAGACTAAAACTTTATATCCCATTACACTTTCATATGTTAACTTATATATTAATTTGATATATTATATCCATATAAGTATGTAAGTCAAGTTACCTTAGCGGCCATTGTAATGTATTGAGTGTCGAAGTGTGACTGTGCTTTCTTAATATCAACACGGGTTTTTATACTTGAGTCTTATTCGACAAATGCACAACTCACAAGGTGACAAACTGTTGCTCAACATATAGAGCAGGTTAAAGTGCAACATTATTTTATAACACACGTTAATATTAACAAGTGTTTAAGATTGTCTTTGGTATAAAACTAAGTCAATTGTTTTACTAAAATATAAATAGACACAATGATTTTCAGCAGTTTATAGAATAATTATAACAAATAATACATATTCATATTTTTCAATACTCTTCCTGTGAAGCTTTTTTTTTATAATCAACGAGACGCTTTGTATTTACAAATCCTTTTATTGCCTAACATTTCAGAGATGGGTATCTTTTATCAAAATGTGTGGAAATTGAAAAAATTCTTATTTGATCACGTTTAATTTGAAAGCTATATTTTATTTACAATATTTTTTAATAAATTCGACTTTTATTTATAGATAAATAAAAGTAAGTATTTACTATTTTATATCTAAAAGTTGCGTTCTCACCTTCAAACTCTAAAACGTAATTATGGATCAGAACTAAACCACATGAAATCAATCAACATGAATCATTTTAAACTATTCTTTATAAAGAAGAAAATATAGTCATTGACTATCAGTAATTATTTTCCTAAATTATATACGCATGTTTTAGATCCATTATCAATGGTTATTTAATATATCCCACATGGCAAGAATTTCATCTTCAGACCGATTGTCATACTTCTCTTTATAATTTTGTTATAAACTTTATCTTTTACCTATTTAATTGTATTTAAATTCACCTGCATATGTTATATCAAGGAAAGGAAGCCATTATTATTATCAGTTATAATTAAATAGCTTTTCTTTATCAAATCTTAAGAAGAACTGACTCACATACCCATTCAAATGGTTATTATTAAGTTAAATATGTTTTTTAAATTCCCTTTCACAAAAAAAAAAGACAGAAAACTTACGCGGTCAATTCGTTATCCGTTTATCTTTTCATAAGTACCGTCTATCAACATAAAAGACTGTTTAGTTCGGGGGTAAGGGGAGGTGTTGATTTAGGATTAAAATGATGAACTCAAATCTACTATATCATGAAGCTGTTAAAAAATCAAACAATAAAATCAACATATAAATAAAATAACGAAATCTGTTCCTAAATAAAGTGTGTCTCGGTATTCTTCTTTCGGTATTAATTTATTAGGTACTAGCTGAAGCAGCGGACTTCGTACCGCCCTATAATGAAGAAATATCTGTTACCTTTTTATGTCAAGCAAATTAATTTCTTTATTAAATATAAATCACCGAAACACAATGGTCTGTCTTCTTAACTGTGATTCTTCTTCTTCTTCCTGGCAACCTCCCAGAATTAGCCAGGGTCTGCCTCACATTTTGTAAATAGTTTTGGCTGATTGTTTTTATGCCCGGCCGCCTGCCTGACATCAACTCTCTTTTGGGAATGCATTATACAGTGATGTCTTAATACTCTTAGAAAGTACATATGACGCGGAAAAATCACATTGGTACTTGCCAAAATCGAACCCGCGCCGTCATACATGAGAGGCGGGCCTTTTAACCACTAGGCCACCACTGACTTATGTCTTCTTAACTGTGATTATTGAATTCTAATTGGTATATTAATAAAAAGTAAAGTGTTTATTATTGTAATGCTTAATTCCAACTACGTGAATATTAATACCAGTGACACATTATTTTATTAAAAAGTGAAATATTCTAGTTATTTTTTTTTCTATTTTTTTCGTATATTTTTCCTACTTAAGAACCTTCTCCTAATAATTACAAATACAACAAAAAAAGTATTAGTGAAATCGGTCTAGCCATTCACGCTTGATGTCCTGACTAAGGGAAAAAGGGATTCGGTTTTATATAAATAGATTTTTCTTTGACCTAGAGCTATGAATGTTCTCAGATAATGCCGTCATATATTGCGAGGTTAAGAATCAATTTCAAAAGCATAAGTTTATACTGAACCCTAGTTAGGAGAGTCGAACTTGCTCATTGAAGGATATTTTTTTTCATAATTTTATTTATAGATTTATATTAAGGTTGGAAATTTTCATTTAAAACATAGTTCTGCTGTCTGTTTTCTTAAGTGTCTCTCTTAGAACATAGTGACACAGGTTCCATGTAAGTACTTATTTATATTAGAATCTATCAATCACTTCTCATTGTTACTTAATTGTTCTCATAATAAAGGTTTTGCTAAAGTTTTAATGAGGACAAGGAACTTCTTCCTTCGGTTATAAAAATACGAAAGAAACTTCTTTTAAAAATACTTATTAATATCCCTCCGGACACTATTTTAAAAAGAAAGGACCATAAAAACTCTCATATAACTGAAAATTTTTGGACGTCGTTTAAATTTTTCACTATACACCTATGTAAAAGTAATGGAATTGCCAAACAAAATATTTTTAGAAACATACAAACCTTTTACGTGAAGAATTAGAAGTCTGGCTCTACATAAAATCTGTTATTTTTTCTGGTAGACCGAATAGCGTGGTCTCGTAATTGCAACATTTTGTATATTGCTTGGGAGGATCTGATATCATTAGTACGTTTGTTATGACACTGCATTTTAGTTTTTTCTTTGGGATCTTGAATTGTTTATAAAAGCCGTATTCTATGTAATTGCCCTCATTAATTTAAACAGAATGATGGGTAAAAGGATTAAACATTTTGTAGTGTTTGGGTACTGACGGCAGCTTACATGGAAATTACAGATTCAATAAATCTTTGAAGTAACATGAACATATTTATGACGGTGAAATGTGGCAGAAAAATAATAAGGTTATTGTAAATGAGACGTCATATTCGGAGAAAAATCTGCTATAATCTAAACCTTGCTCATGAAAAAGTGTTTGGAGGAAATAGATAGTGGCCTTGAGTTTCGTTTGGTACGTGTTGTCGTGGAGATCAGACCACACAAGAAACTCGTGAGAGTAGGTACATTAATTAGACTGAAGCACTTGTACATATAACTAACTACATAACTACAATCTGACACTCTGCTATACTCATATATGAACTATTCTCGTGAAAGTAAATTTAACTAATAATGTTTTAGTTACTTTCAAGTACTCCGTGTGTTAAAAGGCTTACAATGATTTGCGTTCAAGTTCCTTAGATTATAACATCGTTAACCTGTCGACAGAGTTTGTGTTTGTATAATCGACTTAAGTAAAAAATCTGTTTTTAACTTCTTAATTTTAATCATAATTCAGTGAAAAGGAGTAATTTCAATTAATATTATTATCAATAAAAGATAAAAGTAAATCTTAAACAAATTATTTATTTTTAACTATTCACATTTTGTCAATAAATTAAACAATTCAATAACAACAACTTTTGGTTATCACAGCTTAGTGGTGGTAGGAGATGGCGGGAGAAGAGTATGAGACGTGGGCGAGAGGAGCAGCGTAGGAGACGGGAGCTGAGTAAGCTACCTTAGCTACGGGAGCAGCGTATGCTACTTTAGCGACGGGGGCGGCGTAGGAGATAGGGGCGGAGTAGGCTACTCTGGCGACAGGGGCGGCGTGGACGAGCTTGGCGACGGGAGCAGCATAGGCGATCTTAGCGGGGACTGGGGCCTGGATGGGTTGTCCTTCGTAACGTACGTTGGCGTTGAAACCGTTGTGTGCGTCAGAGCTGTACTCTACAATGCGGTGGACTCCGTCAGGTTGCACCAGCGAGTATGATCCGTGGACGACGTCTCCCTCACGGGACTCCTGCTGCTGCTTCACGTCCCCGCTCTCATTGTCGTGCACAGAGTACTGGAACTCGTAATGAGCTGGTGCTTCGGCTTCGGCGTATGCCAGCTTGGCGACAGGCACCACGGGGAGGGCTGAGGCGGCTACGGCCAGAGCGAGGACGAAGAACAACTGGAATTACAATCTTTGTAAGAAAATATATGTTACATTCATACTAAAAATCCTAATTGCTCGGACATTTATAAAATTATAACTTTAATATTTAAATGAGTGTACAGTTATATTTAATTAGATAACAATTATACAATATTTATTATAGCTATAAAATTTTACCTTAGCTGCCATTGTGATATTTACTAAAGTACAGGTGTAACTGAACTCTAGCTTACTTTCGACCGTATTTATACTTAATTTTTTGGTGGGAACACGATCAAGGTCACAAGCTTTTTAAGAACCCTCAGCTTTAGAGCAAGTTTTTAAAAACATTTTTTATAATATTTGTTTCAAACTTGGATACCAAATATTTAAATACGTAGGATGGATCAAATATAAATGATAAAAATTGCTCAAACATCATTTGGAATAATTCAATTCCGTTCTTGTATATTTTCTACATATGATCCATAGAATAAGATAATTCTTTGATATAAATATATATATCTTCTACCTGGCAATTTCCCAGCTTTAGCTAGGGTCTGCCTTTACATGTTGTGAATAGTTTTGGCTAATCGCTTTTACGACCGGCCGCCTGCCTGACATGAACCCCCTTGGAAATGCATTAGTCAGTAATGTGTAAATACTCTTAGAAAGTACATATTACTCGGAAAAATCAAACTGGTACTTGCCCGGGCCAGGATCGAACCCGCGCCCTCGTGCATGAGAGGCGGGCCTTTTAACCACTGGCCACCACTGACTATAATATATGTATGTATATATGTTTTTATAATTACTATCTTATATATATAACTCCAATAGTTCCTTATTTAATATCTTTATTGCATTTTCACACTCAATTTTTTATTTAAATTAACACATTACTAATCATAAATATAAAAAAATATATAATATTACTCCAGAATACGGAGGAACAGTAGGATACAATAATTAAAAAATACATAGTTATATATAACTTAGTTTCAATTAATCAATACAGATATGAGATGAAGCAGTTAATTTGAATTAACAAACGGACAGTAGTTCCAGTTATAAATAGATATTATGATACACATTCTAACTTTGCT